CTTCGATCAGTGGACAGTGTGTCTTATGCATTTGCAATGGAATGACATTAATTTCGAGTGGGCCAGGGGCCATTGATACATATTTATGTGATTTGTGCGATTAGAAATTGTATTTGCCGCAATGGCAGATGTTGTTGCTGTCTTAAAATGTGAGTAAAATGATTATGCCACAGGCCGTAGCATATCATCTGTCATCAGCTCGACGGATATCAATTATGTGCATTAGTAGCAGCCAGTGCGATTCAGAGTTGTTGCTCATTTCCTCTACTCAGCTCAGCTGCTGCTTGACAAAAAGGCAACATTGACAGCACACAGCACAGGCACTCGCTTGTTTCTTGCCTCGTCCTGTCATTCAGCTTGTGTCCTTATTTGTTTTCCCTGCCTATTTAGGTTTGATTTCATTCTGCCGGTTTGCCTAATTAATTAGATTGTGCCATTTGGCGCCTCAGGTAATGAATGAATCAACTTTGCTCCTCCGCACCTATTCCAATTGTCACCTACAGCAGCAGAGCACAGCCGACTCCACCCACTGCTGCCCCCTCTCTGTCTGCTCCCTCTCTCATTTGTTGTAAAATTGATTAACTGACTGACAAAGTGAACGAAACTGTAACTGACTCACAGCACCCATTGGCGTTTTGCTGTTTGTTTTAATTAAATTTCTATTTCCCGTTAACTACACAATTATCTCATTTCATTATGCTCTAAATTATATAAAACTAATTGAATACCATCAGCTTCAAATAGTTTGTGCAGCTGTTCGATGTGAAAACTGAAATTGTTAATTGTTAAGTGGGAGTTGACTGAAAGAAGAGCTGTGAGCGATACCGTTTGAATAGTTATAGATGTTTAAATAGTTGAGTTGAATGAATAGAATTTGGGAAGTTGGTATATTAAAGTGTAGTGTAGTGTGCTCAAGCAAGGTATTCGTGGTTGTCTAACTTATAGGTATTATTGTAGCAGTCCAGTACAATATTTGAGAGATCAGCACTATGGTTAACTATCCATAGATCTATATATCGATTGCTAAGGAGGTGGATACAAGGCGTGCCAGAATGAGTTATGGCAGAAGAAGAAAAACATCAAC